ATCTTACATTTGATAATATTTATACATAAAATGTATAAAATATTAATTTCAATAATATTTATTATATATGCTTGAAACCATTCATCCAAAATAATTAAATCTTCCGGGTAATTTAATTTGAAATGTATTTGATAAACTTATTTCAATATAATTTTAATAATCAATTATAACCTCAAAAAAATTGATTCTTACTAGTCTTAAAACAAAAAATTTTACAAGAAAATCAATAAAAAGAAACTAAAGGAAAAAAAAAATTGATTCTTACTAGTCTTAAAACAAAAAATTTTACAAGAAAATCAATAAAAAGAAACTAAAGGAAAAAAACCAAAAAAAATAAGAAAACAAAAAAGAGAAAATTAGATAAATCAAACTGATCATTTGTTCAAAAAAAATATCATATCAATTTAAATATAAAAATTAAAAATACAAAAATTAAAAAAAAGGATTAAAAAAATCAAAACACAATCGACAGAAAAAAGCTGTCGATTATACTGGCTATAATCGACAGCCATTTCTGTCGATTATACTTAAAACCCGCCCATTCACCCCAAAAAAATTAAATCTCCCTGCTAATTTAATTTGAAATATATTCGACAGTCTTATTTCAATATAATCCACATAATTTCTATCGAATATATTTTTATTATATAAGAGTTTCAAAATCAGAACATCCCATTGTCTTTTTTTTTTTCATCTCTGGTTATCTCCTCCTTTCTCCTTCTTTCTCACAAGCAAAACGTCCCAGTTTTTCTCTCAACTTTTTCTCCTTTTATTTTTCCTTTTTATTTCATCTTTTATACTCTCCCATTTGTATTTTTGTAAATATCTCTAGTTTTATTCTAGTTTTCATTTATACTTATTCCATTATCTTCTTTTGTTGACAGTCCATCATCTTCTTTCTCTTCATCCTTCTTAGTCAATGCATTTTTTTTTTTATGCATCATCCAATTGCTTCAATTTAGTTTAAATTAAGAATTTTTATTATTTGATACACTAATAGTTCTTTCTTTTTTTGTGCGCAGATTTTAATACAATAATTATGAGGTAATTTTTTTAAATTTAATTATACTTTTTATTTTCTTTTCTTTTAATAAAGTCATAATCTGTACCAATGCAATTTTTTTTCTTATTTTTGTTAGGATATTGATAAAAAACTAATTAAGGTTAGAATTCTTATTTTAGTTTTATTTATGTTTATCTACTATTTCTTATATTATATTACTCTTAAAATTGTGTTGAATTTGGTTTTATTATTTTTTTATATAATTTAATTAACAGAAAAATTATAAATATAATTCTGGATTTTATTAAATTTTACATTTTTTTTATTTTTTTACCAAGTATATTCAATAGAAAAAATTTCTATCGATTATAGTCATTTTCAACTGTTGTTTTTACGTTAAAAATTGTTATCAATTATATCTGTCGATTAAGATATAATCGACAGAAATACTTGTATAATCAACAGTATTTTTTGTCGATTATACTGTGTTTTCTGATAATTGGGGGGGAGGGGGGAGGGGAAGAGTTCGGCAGCCCAAAATAGAAAAAAAAAAGAGTGTCTTCTCTCAGTCGCTTTCCTTACCCTTGGCCTTCCCCCTTTCCTTTTGTTGTACCTTGGTTTTCTTTCTCCTGGTATT